AATCAAGAGGAGGAGCAGATTCCAGTAACAGTTATTTCTTTCCAGTACATCACCAAAAATAAGAGGTGTATTTCTCACAAGTCACCAAGACTGAATTGCATTTAACCCAAGATCCTTGGTAGCCTCATCCATTTTCAACCCACTTGGTCTATTTTTTCCTCTCAATAAAACCATAGTTGAAACTTTGAACCCTCTGTGACAATGATTCTAAAGAAAGATACTTCTCTTTGACAAGGTATTGAAAGACAAGTTTGAGTTCGTACTGCACTACACCTTCAAGTAAATCGTGCATTATATCTACTGCATAGTTATCAGAGGTGTGGAAAAAATGCAATGTATTGAGCAAACATTTCTTTTTGACACCAAATGTTGAACCCAACATAGGATTTTCCTGAAGAGCTGCACAATGTTCTGCATGGATTTCTTTTGTACGAAAAATCATTCGAGCATCATCTTCAGTAAAAACAGACTGAGACTCCTCCTTAGTTATCAAACAAAATCTACAAAAATATGTAGCACTGAAGGACTCAACAAAACCAAATAGTCCATGTAAACCTAGGTTGTCACCTGTTACTTGTATAACAGAACCAAGCAATGGTGAGTCTGAAAAAGGCACCTCAATTCCTTGTGTTTCAAGTATTTTAAGATCGTCAACAAGAGGCTTTAGTATATCATTAAATCCATAAGTCTTCAGATCTTGTGAGTGAAAAAGAGCCACAACATGTATATTCATCAACACAGAATTATATTTTGGAGGAAGGTTCCTCAATATAAAGTAAATACAACCAAGTTTGTGAATTCCCTTCTTTGAACCTAAGGGGTTTGCTGTCTCAAACTCATCAAAATAGAGTTGAATCTGTAGAGCATGTTTTTTCTGGGAAAACAAAATGTTACTCTTGAAGTATGAACCATCACATACATCTTTATAAATGCCTTCTTCATGAATTTTGGCTTGCAAAAAAATTTCACACAGTTCAGCATTCTTGAACATAGATTTAAGGGTTCCTAGAATAGGTGTATACACAAATTTATCTGTTACAGGGACCTGACTATAAAGTCCTGTTGTATGATCTCTGCGAACATCAAACCGCACCCCTAGAACATACTCTACAGGTTCAACCATCTCCCACTTTTCTTCAAAAAACCTTTGTCGTTTGACTCTCGTGTTAAGGATTGAAAATGGATTTTTTAGTTGATCAAAACACTTCTCCACTTTGTTTTCCAAATCTGTGTTTTGCATTTCTGAAGTACAGTTGAGAACTGCCTCTCTCGCTTGCCTATGAATGTCATTTACAAGTTCCTCCATGGATCCCACCATTGCTTGGACTGTGCTTTCAGC